CTAAACTAACAACAACATGCTAAACCAACTAGATCAAGCTGTGTGAATGAAAACACACCTGGTGCAAAAGCTTGAAAACAGCTATGGAAGATTGAGGATCTGAGGCTTCCAAGGCTTGGATCTTGATCAATTAACTCAGGGATTGATTCTGTATGCAATACTTTGATGATTCCTAGCTTGAATTGTGCTGTCCAATGGAAATTGCAGTTTTGATGTTCTTGAAGAAAGTGCTCGAAAATGGATTCTAACCACCAAGTCTTTGCTTCAATTATGATCCAGGATGATGATTGAACAAGATTGAATTGATGTGGATGAAAATTGATGAAGGTTTTGGAGAATTGGAATGAAAATTCAATGAAAAAGAATGAGAGAATTTTGTGAAATTCTTGGTGAAAATGAAGCCAACCCTTGATCAATCTGCATTTCATGAATATATAGACCCCATATGAACATTCTAGATCCATCTTGCACATTCCCTTGCCTTCCAACTTTGATCCATTTTTGCTATGTTTCTTAAAAGGCAAGTAACCAAAGATAACTTTCTTTTTTCCTTCTAAACTCAAAAAAGTGTTTGAACCATTGTTCTTAGAATTGCTTTTCCATTCAAAATCATATATTGGAAGTCTCCATTTGGACTTGTAAATCTCCCAAACCATTTTTCACTTTGAATTTCTTTAAATTATAAGCCATTTTAGTTCAACTTTTGACCAATTATGCAACTTCATGCTATGAGCTTTTCCAACAATTTGTGACCTTCTTTCTAGACTTAAAATCCCATTTGGAGCAAGTTTGATGTTGTAAGTTTTTCCATTTGAGGCCTCCCTGTATGAGTTTTGGACATAGGTTAAAATGACCTGTAATTCACAAATGCCCAAAATACCCTTTGCTTGCCAAGACCATAAGTTGAGTTCCACACATCACATGAAGGCATACTATACCATTCTAGAAAGCTAAGACAATGAGGAACAATTCTTATGTTGACCAAGAATTCATTTGAAATCTCCTTGAGGGGTAAAACTAGCTTGGAAGTCAAGTCACTTTCACAGACAAAAATTCAGACACCTCAGATGACCTGTAACTTGCAAGGACCATAACTTGAGTTCTATAAATCTCCTTGATGTCTTCCACCACTCAAATTAAAGGTCTTGAGATCCTCTACAAGTTTCATGTTGGCCAAGAAGCCATTTGAAGCTTGCACTTTGACTTATCTTGCTTGGAAATTTGACCTAAACTAGGGGATTTTACACAGAAACCCTAATTTAGAAACTCCTCTTCTCCTTGATTTCTCTTGAATTCTCCTTGGCATATCTCCATATCCTTCTTTATATGTTCAATGATGAACCCCACATCTCTCCAATAGACTTGAATACCCTTTAAATCAGTCAATTAACCTAGGGTTGACCTAGGGTTGACCCAGATGAAACCCTAGTTGACTGTCTTCAGTTATAGCTCTTGTGCTCTCATCAATGACTTGTCTCCTTCTCCAAATGACTTTCTAAGCCTCTCATAATGTCTAGATACTCTCCATGCCTTCAACTCACAGCTCACAACCCTCTTGTTGACCCTCAGATACCCTCAGCTAGGAGATGGACTCAAGGCTTGATCTGCTGAACTCTTTGCTTTCAAATTCTCTCCTGATGACTTGAATGAGATTGAATTGGGATAATAACCTCTTGATAGGCTTCTAGAGATGAGAATAATGATTGGTCCCCTGTTGAATGACTTGCTATGCTCATGCTATGCAGATGATTAGTCTATGTACATGACTCTATATGCAAATGCTAATGACATTGAAACATAAACCCAAGGAATAAGATTGGGCAAATTTTAGGGTGCAACACTCACGATCTTCAAAAGTGTGGTAATATAAACATCTAACAAATTCGTCTTTGTGATAATTTTGCAAACCTTTTCACAAAATCACTTTTAAATAGAATTTTTGACCAATTAGAATAAAAAATTAATCTTCATCGTCAAAGGAATGGACGTTTAGTTGATAGGGATAAATAAACCCATCTTAAATCTTAAAAAAAAATTATATTTTTCTTTAACTAGATATTTTTCCATTAATTTTTTTTAATAAGATTTTAACTAAATGTATCTTCGATGAACATCCAAAAAGAATGTTACGTATAATACACTATAGGATGTTCAATACCTTATTTTTCAATTGGGATGTTTGCGATGCGATTTGAGCGGTTTTGTCGCTAAAAGTCATCCAAACTGCAAGAGAAAAAATATACAGTTCGATTGACTTTTAAAAATAAAACCGAACAAAACTAAACCAAATTAATGCGATTTGAATAAGTTTAGTTGGTTCGATTTTTTTCAAAATTTTTATTGAGGCATACATATACACATAAAGAACAACATAATTTTGTGTTTATTCATCGATACATTACTATAAAATAAATTTATAATTGTCAAAATAAATTTATAATTTGATGCATAAATATCAATTGCTTATTACAATTTTATCTTAGGTCAAAAAAAAATTGCATTCTTAATAAATTTAAAATACTATTAAAATGAATTAAACCTTTTTTAAATCTTATTCAATATCAACAAAAGCAATCAAATTAGGGGTTTTAGGGGTTTCTAACAACACATTCTTCCACATTGCTCTGTTCCTCCATTGAAGACATGTTCTCCAAAACCAAAATCAACACTTTCTTTCACTACTACCTCAACAACAATCTCAACATTCACATTCACTCAAGACCAATATCCAGTCTCAAAGTAGTATGGCGCAAAGACCCATCCCTAGACCAAGCCATAGAACACGATAAACGCTACAAACAATGCGCTCGCGTCGTCAAAGAAGTCCTCAACGAACCAGGTCAAGTAATCCCTCTCCGCTACCTCGAAAAACGCCGCCAAAGGATGCGACTCAAGGTAAAAATCGATACTTTTTTGAACCAAAACCCTTTTTTATTCGATGTCTACTACGATCGCATTAAACCCAAAACTGAACCTGTGAAGTTTATTCGGGTCAGCGATCGTCTTCGTAGGTTTATCGATGAAGAAAAACGGATTTTTAAGGAGAATGAACCGTTAGTTGTTGCGAAGTTGTGTAAATTTTTGATGATGTCGAAGAATAAGGTTGTTAGTGCTGATAAATTGCTTCATGTGAAGAGGGAATTTGGTTTCCCTAATGATTTTTTGGTTGATTTGGTCCCGAGGTATCCGGAGTATTTTAGGTTAACTGGTTTGCCCGGGGAGGGAAAATCGTTTCTTGAATTGGTTGATTGGAACCCCGAGTTTGCGAAATCGGTTATTGAGAAAAGGGCTGAAGAGGAAAGTAGGGTTACTGGGATTAGGGTTAGGCCTAATTTCAATGTAAAGCTTCCGCCGGGGTTTGTGTTGAAGAAAGAGATGAGGGAGTGGATTAGGGATTGGATGGAGCTTGATTATGTTTCACCTTATGAGGATGTTTCGAATTTGGAGCAAGCTTCTAGAGAGATGGAGAAGAGGTCTGTTGGGGTTTTCCATGAATTGCTTTCTCTTTCGTTGTATAAGAGGGTTCCGGTTCCGATTCTTGGTAAGTTTTGTGATGAATATAGGTTTTCGAATGCATTTTCGAGTGTTTTTACGAGGCATTCGGGTATATTCTATATGTCGTTGAAAGGTGGGATTGAGACTGCTATGTTGAGAGAAGCGTATGAAGGGGATAAGTTGATTGACATTGATCCACTGCTTCAGATTAAAGATAGATTTGCTGAGGTGTTGGAGGAGGGTTGGCGGGAAAGAGTGGAGCAGTTGAGGTTGAAGCAAGAGAAAATTAAGCAAGATATGGAACTTGTGGCTACAAGAGTTTCTGAATAATAATATAAACCCGGCGCGTGGTTATATGAAGAGCTTTCAATTTGGAAGGAGGTTATGAATGGACTTAAATTTGCATTTGTCTAACTTATTGTGTTTTTGAATTCAGGAATTTAACGACATGGTGGTCTAAAATCCAAATGATCCTTTTGATATCAGACCAATCCTGCATGAAGTTCAAATGTGAAAAATGTTGGATTTCCTCTGAAAATTTGTAACGAAAGAAACATATATATACATCTGGAATAAATGTGCTTCATTGTTGGATGATGACAAGTTCTGCATCCAAATCATCTGAGAGCAGCAATAAAGTATTTACTTTTAGAAACATTGGAAACAGGCGAACAAACGTGTAAAACAAATACCTTAAATTTTCCCATCACCCATGAATGTTAATTTAAGAAAACTGGTGTAATTTGCCATGGTTCCATGAAGTTAAGAAAACTGTTGCGTTGTACCCAACTGGTATCTTTCTCCCGTTTAAAGGCTCAAACTTTTTTATTTTTTACAAATTTTGTTGTAATGATCTGGTATGTATTATCAATTTTGTTTTACAATTGAATGAAGTTAGAAATCTTTTTTCCTGTCCTTTTGGTCAATCTTTGTTGATGTTATTTGAAGATGAAGTACTCTGCACTTTGACAGACAAAGTGAAAGCTATCTAGAATCAACATAAAGTTTTGTATCATCAAAACTTTGTTTATGTAACTTTTTAGTGTGAGTGAAGGCATGAACTTGATAGGATGAGACTCATGAACTTGATAGGATGAGAGCAGCAGAAATAAAGACTTTTTTTTTAAGGTTCCTAAGTTTGTTTGCCTATTTTCAACAGTGTTTCTTTCTCTCACTCTATATAGACCTTTTGCTTCAAAAGTCCTCCAGTTGATTATCTCCCATGTAAAATTTACATGTCATTAGTTTACACAAATCTGATACATCCTTTGCCACACTTTTCAACACTGTTGAAAGAGTTGTTCAGAACATTGTTTAGGAATAGTTTGTGCTTACCTACAAAGTCATCACACCAGATGGATGAGAAATGCAACTACACAGGGCCTAACCTCATTCTATTGGTAGTTACATTTTATTATTTGCAAGTATTTAAGCAATTCTACTTCTTAGCACATTCATGTTCAGATATATTAGCCTAAGAGGAATAAACTAGAAAGAGAAACAATATGAAGATAATCAATATTATTAATTCAGTAACTCTGGTTCTCACATTTCTTACATTTGGGCAGAAAATGGAGAGTCATATCGGGCCACCGGATATTCAACTGCCACCACCGTCTCTTCGCCCTCTCTGTGCACCTCAGCTAGCACTAGTAAGCTATGCTTGCGGAATGTTATCTTTCACTCCAGGATCACATCCTTCTCCAATCCTGCCTCCACCATCTCCTTCATCCCCAGACGACGACGAAGGACACCATAACGAGGGACAGCAAAGTCACCACCATAGGCACGGACATAGACACAGACACCACAGAACCTCGCATGAAGATAACTGTTGCAGGTGGGCTAGAGACATAGACAGCCGATGTGTGTGTGAGATTCTAGTTAAGCTGCCTCTTTTCCTCACAAGACCTTTGCATGAATACACAGTGGTGATAGGAGAATCATGTACGGTCACTTACTCATGTGGGGGACCAATATGATGGGGGCAAAACAAAATTACAAATGGCGATGCCACCAAAAAAGTGTAGTAGTGGAAAAGAATCTGATGTTGTGTGTTTGGTGTTATTGGTTGAAGTTGTGGCTATCTTTTCTTATGCTAGCTGTGTTGTTCATTGTTTGACTTTCCAATTTAGTCATGTAAAAACTATGTTTACTCTGAAATTCATATTTATTATGGCGTAAGGTTTTTCTGATAAATTCTAAATATGACTGATATAAAGGTAAAGCTATTATTAGAGGCATTTATTTCACATTTTTCTTGTAAACAAATGAGTACTAATAAAGTTGTGAATATATCTATCTTGAAGGAATAACAAACACAAACATGGCCCTTGGTAATAGTGGAAAGGAGAGAATAAAAAGAGTGTCCTTATCTTCTTTCCTATATATATATATGCAAGTGCTAACAAAATTACAAAAGACAATTTTTACACCAAGTATATTGTTGCTCGTTGTACCTCACATTCTAGAAAATCAAAAATATCCTTTGGAGATACACAAAAAAATCACCACCAACAAATTTTTTTTCCTGAGATACATACCATTTTAATCAAAGTATGGTACGTAGATGTATCTCCGTATGATATTTGAGTTTATACAGAAATGCATCTTCGAAATATCCTCTGAAAATTTTTAAAAGGTATTTAAAGCGTGTTAATTGAAAAGAAAATTATTTCGAAAATACATCTTACGAATCCCTTTGAATAGTTTCACAACAGTACCATTGTCACAATATTGTAATTTTTTGATGTCAAGTTATGTTAAAGTAAAATCAAGATATATTAAAGTTAAATGAAAGTAAAATGTCATACATTAATCCAAAAAGTCAAGATCATACATAATATTTGTCTGAAAATACAAAAAAAATAATACATCCGATCATAAACTACTATGTATGTCTAACCCCCTGCATCCTCCTCCGCTTGTACTGCACAACATTCCATAACTCGGCAATCATGTCCTCTACGAGGACGAACTGAGGACCGTCACCTTCAAAGAATTTGACCTCTATGTCTGTTCTACCCATCTCCGTAACACGCCGAAAGACCGCAGACACGCTTTTGATGTGGTCATGCTAGCCTTAAGTGCTTTCTAATTAATGTTTACCGTAAAAATTGGTAAACAAACGCTGCTCTCCAAATATTGGTTAACGTGCAGGATCAACCAGTGAATCCTAGGACATGTGCTTAGTATTTTTACTTTAATGTTTGAGAAATAATGAATGCTTCGACAACATTCATGTTTAAAAAATAGTTTGCTTCAATGAAATAAAAGGGATTATGACAAAAGAAGAACCGAAAGCGCAATAAAATATGCAGAAAGTAACTTGCATAAAAATAAAGATTAATTTATGGGCAAAAGTATAAACTGACTTTTATTAAAATGTAAACAAATAACTGGTGTTTATCAAACGTATATGTTCTTAACAAACTCGTTTCTCTACACACGGGTACTTTGAGTATTTGAGTGATTTTGTACAAACTTGAATACACACGAAATTCTAACACTAAGACTTCCTATTTATATTTAATCAAAATAACTGTCTATAACGACTTTTCTCTAAAAAGAAGACAAATGGCACTCGACATGCCTTCGACTTCCCAGCGTACTCCACACGTTCTTCTTTCGCAATCTGGATAAAGACAACATTCCCTCCTTGATTCAAATTCAAAACTCAAGTCGAAAATAACATCCGTAACATCCTGTCGAAATACCATTTCAATACTTAAGAAATTTTTCTAAGTCCACTTAGTCATCTTTTCTTTTGTAAGAAACGTCTTCGACTGAGCTTCCAACATCGAACTTACCTACTCGAAATTCATCATAACTTGGCAAAATTTTCTTTTTCCCTTATTTGTTACATGAATTAAACCAGACGTCGAAATTAAGAGCCAACAAATTGCCCCCCAAAAATGTCCTTTCTGACACCTAATGGAGAAAATGGAATTTTTTGATAATCTGATTTGAAGCCATAGACAATTTGACGTCATAAACTGTTCATGTGACTCATCATAATTGTGACGTCAGGGTCATCATGACACCTTTTCTGAAACGTCTCTTCACTCCCACGCCTAAATCTTTTCAATCATCACGTTTCTAGCCCCTAGGAGATCGTGGGTCAGAAACTTAACTGCCACTGTCTCATCACGTCGTCTCCAAGCAACACGTGTACCACGACCTTGTCACCATTAATAAGGTACAGTAGTCGTGCATAGTACCCGTTTCACCTCAGCTCACTTATAAAAGAGTGAAAAAGTTACCATTTTACTTTTTCTTTTCACTTTCTGAATTTCTTGAACCGCATCATCTTCAAACTTCATCTTACTCCCAAATTTTCTCTACACTCATTGCAACAATGACTTCTGCTTCAGCAACTTCTAAGGAAACCAGCAAGAAAGCAAAAGGCTCCCAAAAGTCAAAATAACTCGCCCCAGTTCACAGGATGTTAGGTCCAAACGTGGTTGGAAATCAGCAATACATCCCCGAACCTCCAAATGAGGAAGTAAAACAAAGATTTATCAATCCCAAGTACTCATCCCTATTTTTATATCTGGTAAAACCCATGCCATGCTAGGCTCTTTACATGATCTAAATGCTGATCTTGTTAAAACTAGGGAGTTTTTTCCAGCTTATCACAGTTACAAACCTATAGCAAATGGTGTAAGACCTATGAGTGATAAGGAAGTTCTGATTGATGAAAATTTTAAAGTATACGACCAAGGTTCACCTTTGACCGTAGCCTCTAGGGACACCATCAACTTAGAGTACATGAATAATAATTTTAGGATTTTCAGATCACGCCCTCTATCGAAAGACCCTTCTGACTACTTAGCTTGGCTAGAAAAGATAGAAAAAGTCAAGTCTCGAGTTTGGAAGAAAATGTGCATTTAGATCAAATTGTCGAAAGTAGGACCAAATTATTGTCCTTCGATGCTCCTTGCTTCCCTTTACTTCTGGGACAACACTTACAACAACTTCCACCCGCCTTGTGGAATGGTCACCCCAACCCTATTCAATGTAGCTTCCATTACTGGCTTGAAACTCATTGGAGTAGATTATGATCCCAATCTATTAGCTAATAACTCAATAGGTTTCGACACTAGAAAAGTAGCCTTCACCATTTACATAGCCTATTACCATGATAAAGAAACCACAAAGGTTTCTGACCAAGAACATGTTGCCTTCTTGGCTCTCTGGCTCTCGTGCTATGTTTTCTACTCAACGTCTCTTCAAGTGGCGAAGAGGTACTTAACCATGGCGAACCAACTGCATGTTGGACGTGAACTTTATCTTAGCAAAATTATCTTGGCCAATTTGTATGAATCCCTTGGCGAAGGCGTCACGGAGTTGAAGACAATCAAGACGAAATGAAGTTTGCTCCTATCTAGACCTTTATGGCTACTACAACTATGGCTGAATACCAATTTTGAAGCATTGCTTCCTGGTCGAAAACTCGTCAATGAAGCTTCTATGAAATATAGAAGAGTCGAAGGAACAAGCCTTGCATTGTTGACTCCCAATGATGAAGGAATGAGTCTTCAGCAAACATTCACTAGTTACACAATGATGCTTGTTTTGAAACGTCATAATTTCACTTCCAACATGGCCCCTTTTGCAAATAGGAAAGTGGGCCCTGAATGGTTTACAAGGAGGTTTCCTCCTGAATCGAAGAAACAAGAAGGAAAATATTTTGATATTTGGGAATCCTTCCTGACGCCAAGATTATTAGTTTCGAGGCTCAATACTTCCAAACTCCGAATTGCTCTTGTCAACTATCAACCAAATCTCGTCTCTCGGCAGTTTGGTTTGACTCAGATTAAACCAAAACCTTTCTTCCCTAGGAAAGGTTCATTGATCCATTACAATACATGGCATAACAAAGCAGAGTGTACCAAACTGCTAGCCAAGTTTTCTAACCTCACAGAGTTTCATGTTGTGGCCTTCAAACCGTGTCTCCTCTGCACCAAAGAGTTTGGCGAATGGTGGAGGGAATACTATAAATCATAATTCTTTGATGTGTCCTCCTTCAATCTTCAACTAACTAGAGCTTTTACCCTTGAAAAGGACAAAGTGAAGAAAGGTACTTCAAGGCATATCAAAGCATTCTAGAAATACTTTGAAATTGCCTACAGGCCAAATGAGCTTAGTTGAACCATTAGCGAAGCAGCAGTAACCTTAAAATAAAAATTTACTAAGAAATTTGATGATTTAAAGCTTCCTTTGTACGCTCGACCTTATCAATGTTACGAATTAAATTTTAATATTTATCCTCCAAAACTCCCTCGACTGCCAACTGCTGACTTTGGTGTGGCTTTTAACCCTCCATTTCCAGACTGGTTCGTGTGTGAGAATTTTATGAAAAATCTTCTCCAAGACTACCAAAAACGCGCTAAGCGAATGGTTTCGACTAATACCTCCATTTCCAGATTGGCATAGAACACGTTTGCGTGAAGTCTCTGATATATGAAGGTGTGGAATGGAAGGTTCTTCGACAATACTTCTTTCCTTTTCATTTATATTTTCCTTCTTGCTTATATTAATTGCATTGCTTTTTCTTGCAGCTGTGAAGATTCCAGCCAAGAAACCCACTCCCGTCGAGAAAGAACCCGTCGAAGAAGATGAAGAAGATAACACCAAAAAAACCCATAGCAAAGGTGAATCTTGTGCTTCCCAGTGCTTTCTTTTTATTATTGTTGCCTACTAATTTTATTGTCTAAAATATGATATACCTTATTTTTGCAAGGAACTCGAAGACCTCCTCCGACACCTAAAAAGAGAAAGCTAATCAACATTTGATGCTGAAATCATAGTGGAAGACAAAGAAGAAGAAATGGAACGAGAAAATCAACCAAAGACCGACCCTCAAACAAATACTTTGACTGGCCATATTCCACCAGCCTTTCACGCGAAGAGCTAGAATAATTGAAAGTACAAAGAGCACTGGAGTACTTAAAAGCCATGATAAACTTCAGACATAGCT